GTTGGCAGAAAGCAAGCTAACTCCTCAGCCCACCAGGGAGATGAGAATAGCATCCTTTGGGCTCTGCTTTGGAAAACATTTGGAATATTTTTAGGAAAAAAAAAAAAGGAAAACTGAAGAGTTATGTTTAGTAGCAGAAGCCAGCCAGCTCCCAGGCTGGAAAACAGCTTGGAAATAATTTCTGTGCTCCACCATCACATGCAGGCACCCAGCAGGACCCAGTGAGGCCATGAGTGTGGTGCCAGCCTGCAGAGAGACGGCAGGGGAGGGCGGCCCTGCTGGGGACACGCAGCAGAGCACAGGGTGGTGGCATGGGCAGCCAGGTGCTGGCAATGCCAGGATGCTCCTCACCATCAGCCGAGTGTTTCTCATTAAGGTCATTCATATTTTATACCTGTTTCAAGGCTAATGATGCGGGAATGCTGTAGGCTCATAAATAATGTCCGCTGATGCAAAGCGCCATTAAAGCTTAACGAACTTCCTTCTGTGTCGAGCAAGTGGCCTCGACCACAAACTGCTTCCTCCATCGCTGCCCTCCCATTCCTGGAGGGCACCACAAGCTGCATCCTCCCGTCACTGTCCTCTGCATTCTCCATCCTCTATAATTTCCCCTTCTATCCTCCACTGCTGCCTTTTGCACCCTCTATTCCTGTCATTTCCCCCTCCATCCCCATCCCTTCCCTTTCCATCTCTGACATCTCCCCCTCCATCCTCCATCTTTTCCTCCTCTGTCCTCCATCGCTGCCTTTTGCATCCTCTATCCCCATCATTTCCCTCTCCATCTCATTCATTTCCCCTCCACCCTCCATCCCTGCCCTCTCCATTCACTTTACTGCTCTCTCCAGCCTCCATCACGTTCCCCTCCATTCTCCCTCATGTCCCCCTGCATCCTCCACCCCTGCCCTCTTCTGACCCAAAATCCAGGGCTTTCTCCTGGACTCATTTACAGGGAAGCAGAGCCGACTCACTGCAGTTCCCTAGCAACACCGCTCACTCTCACTTTTTCCTTTTGGGATCCTTTGGGCGTTGTGCCCTGAGCTGCAGCAACACATGGTCCCTGGCACAAGACCCACAGCCCACGTTTTGTACCCGAGATGCCTGCTTTTGGGGACTGATCCATCCACAGGATGGGGTCCCACTCCACTGATGAAGGGTGCAGGGGGCTGTGTTGCACTGGGGGATGCGTTGTTCTGATTTTTTCTCCTTTCTGTTGTGCAAAGCCACAGGGCAGGAGCTGGGGATGAAGGTTTCAGCACTCACTAGGGTCTTCCCCACCTCAGCACCCAATCAGATCCACCTACTCCATCTGCCCACCCAGAAGGAAAATCAGCCCAAAGCTGTGATGTTCCCATGGCCTGCACTCCTTTCTGAGCAACCTAATGCACTTTAGTACAAAACCATATCCTTGCTGTAAATTTCTGTTATGTGTTATCTGCAACAGCCGGCCAATAATGTCTGGCTTTGCTCTTCCAAATGTGGAAATAGACATCTGCATGCAAAATTGTAACTTAAAATTACAGAGGTAAAAAGTACATTTTGCCTGGCATTGTTCTCAAGACAACGACATTATCCCAAATGCCTGACCAGAACCTGCTGGGATTTTCATAGGATAGAATCAGAGAATCACTGAGGTTGGAAAAGACCTCGAAGATTGTTCAGTCCAACTGCCCACGTACCACCAGTACTGCCCTGTGAGCCCGTCCATGAGCACCACAGCCACCTTCCTTGGAGCACCCCCAGGGACGGTGACCCCCTCCCAGGGCAGCTGTGCCTCTGCCTCACCACCCTTTGGGAGAAGAAATTCTTCCCAATTTTCTGCCTATGGAAGAAACATTTCAGTGGATGTGGGTCAATTTCACACACACACACAAAAAAGCATCAATTCCCATCGCTCCAGGTCTTTGTGGCCGCATCGTGGAAGGAGAATTGCTCCAACACCTTGTGTGTGTGCACGTGGAAGTGAAGCACAAGCAATTACCAGGAGAAGAACGACAAAAAATAATCAGACGTGAACATTTCTCGTGGTGACTGAACATTTCAATGGGTCGCTCTTTGGTGGTGCAAAAGTCATCAGGTGATGCTGAAAAGGTTCCAAGCCGTGTGCGGCTCAATGTCCCGACTTCAGCAGGTGGTGACAGCAGCGAGGGGTCGGTCTGAGCTCAGATATCCCCAAAAGACCCCAGACACCACCAGGTCGGCCAGGGGATTCACAGCGCTGCAGGAGCTGCTGGGGAAGGCGCCAGATTGCAGTCAAACTGCTGTGGTTCAACAAAGTCAGTACTGTGGAATCAAATCACAGTTTTGCCACCACGCTCAGGCACTTGGGCTGCAGAGAGTGAATATTGCAGGGATAAAAAGGAAGGCGGCCGTTTGCTGCTGTGCCCGTGGGGCTGTGCAGCATTTCAGGTCAGGGCTGCTGTTTGGGGCTGAACCCCGCTCCTGCTCTCAGGAATTTGCCCTTTTTTTATCTGCAAGGCCACTGTTGGCGTTTTTTACATCCCCCGCATCATGCAGATGGGAGAGGCTGCAGGGGCACGGCGCTCAGCCCCGCAGCAGGATGTCACCGGGTCCAGCCCATGCCACCCATCATGTCCATGTTACTTATTTTTATTACCTTGATTTCAATTATCTTTATTCACAGAATCACAGAATGGCCCTGGTTGGAAGGGACCTCAAGGATCATGAAAATCCAACCCCCTGCCACACGCAGGGCCACCAACCTCCACATTTCATAGCAGCCCAGGCTGCCCAGGGCCCCATCCAACTTGGCCTTGAACACCTCCAGGGGTGGACGGGGCATCACAGCCTCTCCAGGCAGCTGTTCCAGCACCTCACCACTCTCATACTAAAGAACTTCCCCCTGACATCCAACCTAAATCTTCCCTCCTTCAACTTCAAACCATTTCCCCTTGTCCTGCTGTCATCTCCCCTTTCACAGAGTTGTCTCCCCTCCTGTTTGTAGGCTCCCTTTAGGTACTGAAAGCTGCAATGAGGTCACCTTGCAGCCTTCTTTTCTCCAGGCTGAACAAGCCCAGCTCCCTCAGCCTGTATTCATAGGGGAGGTGCTCCAGCCCCCTGATCATCTTAGTTGCCCTCCTCTGGACCCTCTCCAACAGCTCCCTGTCTTTCTTGTACTGGGGTCCCCAGACCTGGACACAGTGCTGCAGATGGGGCCTCACAAGAGCAGAGCAGAGGGGACAATCACCTCCCTGTCCCTGCTGGCCACCTCTCTGCTGATGGAGTCCAGGATCCCATTTGCTTTCTGAGCTGGAAGGGCACACTGCTGGCTCATGTTAAGCTTTTCATCCATCAGGACCCCCAGGTCCTTCTCTGCAGGGCTGCTCTCAAGCACTGCTCCTTCCAGTCTGTATGGACGCCTGGGATTCCTCCTGCCCAAGTGCCAAACCTTGCACTTTGCCATGTTGAACGTCATTAGGTTCACTCAGGCCCACCTTTCCAGCCTGTCAGGTCCCAACATTCCCTTTTATTTTCGCTTCATTTTCCACAGGCTGCTCCAAGTTGCAGCTCCTTCCAATCATGAAAACCCACCACTGGCAGCCATCAGCCCACTTAGTTAATCTGCCCCATGGATACCACCAAGGAGCAGCTCCAGCCATAGGCTCAGGTCCCACAGCAGCACAGCTGTACCCAACACAATCCAGTTTTTCTTGCATCCCCACCTGCAGAAACCCAATCTCTGCTCCCTCTCAGCCCTGCAGTGTGCACATTTGGGGTGCTAACACACACCAGTTCCCCCCAGTACTGAGGATACTGGCCTTGCTGGGTGACTGCTGGGCCCTATTTATTGGTGGGGCTGAGGGAGTGGGGCCACAGAGCCCCCAGGGCTCATCAGACCTTGGGAACTTCCCTAGGACCTTCCATCCTGCCGGCTGCCAGTGGCTCCTTCACCCCCACTGCAGTGGGGCCAGGAGCTGCTCCAGGATATCCTGCAGCCAGGATCCAGGAATCATGAGCAGCGCTGGGACTTGACCTTGGATCTGGGCTTCCTCCCCAGGCCCCACCCTGCTCCAACAACTGGCCCATCCATCCCATCCCATCCCATCCCATCCCTTCCACACCCCATTTCCATCCCATCTCAATTTCATCCCCATTCCAGGAGGAAGGCTAACTTTTTACTCCGTCTACTTGAGATTGAACAAGGGGGAATGGCTTTAAACTAACAGAGAGAAGATGTAGGTGAGACATGAGGAGGAAATCCTTCCCTCAGAGGGTGGTGAGGCTCCAGTGCTGCTTCCCACAGAGCAGTGGGTGCCCCGTCCCTGGAGATGCTCAGAGCCAGGCTGGATGTGGAGCTGGGGCAGCAGCCAGCCCATGGCAGGGTGGGCTTTAAGGTCTAACCCAAGCCTTTCTGTGATTACGATTCCGTAATTTCCATCTCATCCCCATCCCGTTAGAGGAGCTCTCTGGCTCAGCTGTATCTCCTTTACCTCCTTTATTCGCTCCTGCTGGGATTCAGCCCACGTCAGCTCTCGGGCCGGGCAATGAGGGAGCGCTCAGCCGCGAGCACGGCCGCCCCCTAGCGGCTGCTCAGGGCCCTGCAGGGTCTGTTGTGACAGGACGGGAATGGTTCAAACTGAAAGAGGGGAGATTCGGATCGGAGCTAAGGAAGAAGTTCGCGCTCAGGGCGGTGAGGCACAGGCTGCACACAGAGCTGGTGCTGCCCCATCCCTGCACACAGCCAAGGTCAGGGAACAGGGCTGTGAGCACTGATGGAGCTGTGGGTGTCCCTGCTCAGTGCAGGGACTGCGAGCAGACGGCCTTTAAGCTGTTTTCCAACTCAAACCATTCTATGATTCTGATTTTGCACTCTCGCAGCCAAACTCTGCATTCTCCACACACCCAACAGCTCCCATTCCTACCCACCAGGCTCTCAGACAGCCCCAAACCCACTTTATTTTCAGTCCCCCCCCCAGGCATTACTTTATCATCTCCACATTCACACCGTGCTTGGATTCCCATCACAGAGGAGCACACAGGAATTTGCAAACACTTTCCAACACTGATCAAGATTTTATTTCTTTCTTTTTTTTTTTTTTTTTTTAAACAATAAAACCAAACAGCTGTGCTCTGAGCAAAACCAATCATCTAAAACAAAAAATTCCTGGCAGTTTACTAACAGCATCGCAAGGTAAGGCTTCCCAAAGTTTCACTGCAATAAATTACTTTCACCTAAACATCAACGCAACGCCTTTCATTAAATTCACCTTTAAACATCCCTAAAAACCAACAGTAAAAAAAGGTACCAACGATTCTAGATAATACTGGGCTCCTTCTAAAGGGCAGTGGTACAAGAAGTCACTCATCAGGAATTTAACAGTTAAGTTGCAGCTGTGTAAAATCCCACTATGCAAGCTAGCATTGCTGGTTCTGGGTGTGCATGGGGTCAGAAATTCTATAGAAAAATCCCAGGTGAGCAGATGGGGCTGCAAGGTGCCTAAGGGCCGTCTGCCCCCGTGCTTCTGTCTCATGGTGGAGCTGTGGGGTTAAAAACGAAATTAAAAGCGTGATACCAGAGCTATCTCCAGCCTCCAGCCTTGAAGTCCGTGTTGCTCTGCAGTCCAAAACAGGTGGGCTCCTCAATGGGATTCCATCAGCTTTTGGTAACACTCAATTCTGGGGGCTGCAGCCTTCCCTGTGCTCTTCCCCACTCCACTCCACTTCTCACTTCTTGCTGGCTCTAAAAGGAAAACAGCACAGCTCTGGGGAGCAAGCAGAACTACAGGCCTGCCAGTGCCAAGAGCCCAGCGATGGTGAACAAAGTGCTGTGTGCTGGAATCACTGCACAATTAACAGTGCCATTTTTTCCCATGTTATGTTGCCAGACGGCTTCCATCTGCCTGCAAACGGACTTTCCAGCAGTACCACAGCAGCACTGCAGCCAGCTGACACAGCTCCTGCCTTTGCTCTGGAGGTGAGCTGAGAGCGGCTGCTCACCTAACGCAGGGTTTGTTGCCAATCCCTGCGCTTCCTTCCCTCTTGCAGCCACTCTCCCTGGCCTCAGGATGACCATGGCAGCACCCTCCGACCTGCACCCAGGGCTGCTCAACTCAAACTCATCTCCCTCAGCTTCTGCTGCGCAGTCAGGCTAACGCCTCTCGTGCAAGCCACAGAAATCACATCAGTGGTTTACAAATTGCCTTCGTCTGTGGAGGGGATCAACGTCACATAGAAAATATTTCAAAAAAGGTTAATTTGTCAGCTGTCCAAACATGATTAGACCACATGCTTTATACAGCAGAGTGGCAGCCAGCTCACTCGGCAGCACAGCTGGCTGAACTCTGAAGTGACACTTTCCTGCTGGTATAGAAAGCGCAGGGTTTTTTTTGTATTTCATTTCTTTTATTCAACATTGCTCACGAGGAGGAGGAAGGAGAAGCAGTGAGCGCTATGAGTTCTGTTGCATCTGCAGTCTCCGCTCGGCGGCGGCTGCCAGCGTCCTGCGGCGCAGTGTGACCGGGTCAGCAGAGGCTCCCTCACTCACTGAGGGCTTCTCCGTGCTCAGCTCTTCATCTGAGGTTTTGTTCAAGTAACGCCTGCAAGAGGAGAAAAGACGATGAGTGAGAGCAGACCAACCTCAGTTTGCTTCCAGAAAACAGTCTGTGCTTTCAGGAAACAAAGGTGGGAGCTGAAGCACACCGAAAGGTGGAAAATACTTTGCATGGCACACTGATGATGTACTCGGACACTGAGGCCTGTGCTGAGTTACTGACTGGGTCCCACCGCTGCACCACAGTGCGTCAGTGCAGGCAGCACCTGCAGCTCCCTCACTGAGGACAGGGAAGGCACTGGCAGGTGGGCACTGGGGCTGCAAAGTGCCGCATCGTGCAACAGTGCAAGGAAGCAGCTCCCAGAGGTAACAGCCTGTTACATTTCTGTGCTCAGAGACAAAACAGCAGTTGGCAATTCCACAGCTCTTCAATGCAGGAAAGGAACGAGAAAACCAGAAAGTCAGAAATGCTTCTGTCTCATTTTTCAAACAAAGCAAATGATTCCAGGAGCTTATTTACAAACACCCAGAAGGCACCATATCTCCCAGTGGTTCATATGAAGGCACTTCAGTGTATTTTTGTTGGCCCCTTCAGCAGTCTCCCTGAGACAAAAATGGGTAACGCTGGTTACAAACGCTAATTGAACTTGATGATCTTTAAGGTCTTTTCCAACCTGAGCAATTCTATAATTCTATCTAAATCTCCAAAGTGCTTTTCCTGTTTTTTTTTTTTTAAACCATCAACTAGATTCTAGTGAAGTTCTCCAACGTGACTGTAACTCATGTAAAGTAAGATTCTACGTGCAATTCTGTTTAAGCTGGAAGAAACAGCTGGCCACGCTCACTTTGGCAGCGCTGCCTTGTTAATCAGAAGCTCTTCTGGTCTGTCAGCCCCACACAGCTCAATACTTGCTCTTGCTCTGTATCTGGAAAGCAGTGCCTGATAGTGAACTCAGCGGCAGTAGCACACAGCACAGGCTGACACTCAGGCAGGGAGATTAGCTAGAAGTGTACTAGGAAACTGAGCACAACCAGCATTTCCTCACTTACTAGAAGCTCAAAATAAAGCTCACTGAAACTGGAGAAATCACCCTACAATTGAAGAGCTTTGGATCATCCAATCATCCACATGGGAAGCACGCTGCAACACAAGATGCTGTTTCAGAACTGGGTTCATCAGAGGCATTGGCCTTAAGGAGCACCTGAGTGTGCTGCAGCAATGTATTCATCCTTCTTAACACTCTTTGCACCACCCCAGTCTTTCAGTGGTCATAATCCATGTGACAGCCATTCTGGGAGATTAAAACCAAGTGGCCAGGCTGAAGCTTTAGGAAGGAACATACTTTCGAGCTTGCTGCAACAAGTCCTCCTTCCGCTGCACCAACATGCGCTGCCTCTCATCAGCTGACTTGGAAAAGCGACTTCCCCTGGCTTCAAAATCTTCTGCTTCACTGGGTTCTGCCTCCACTTCGCTCAGTTCTCCCATTTCTTCCAGTCTTGAGTTGAGTTCAAGTGGCACTCTTTTGGTCTAAGAGAAAAAGAGGGAGGAAATTAGGAAAAGAGGGTTTTATTTCAATTAAAATAAAAGTCTCAAGTCTGTGCAAAACTTGCCAACAGGGCTTCTTTGCATCAAACTAACAAGCTGCAAAGAGCTGCCACTTTCTGAGGCACTGAAAAAAGCTGGGCTTTTTTACCTGCTGCACCCCATCTCCCGGCCTGCTTTGAAAACCCCAGCTGAAATACAGAACAAAGCTCATCCAAACCGCATTCAAAGAGCCTGCATTCTGTAACACTGCGCCTCGCACACCGCGCGTGGAAGGGATCTCAGAGACATAGATGTTAATTACTCATAATTAATGCTCTCTGAAAACAGGGCTCTTGACATAGCTAGATTCTGGAGAGCTGACTTGATCAGCAATGTAACAGTAAAGAAGGAATGGCAAATGTATTCACGAAGAGGATGTGCAGCACACCATGCACCGTGCATTGGTACTGCCAACAGCACATCCCCAAACTGCCCTCATCTTGTGCCAGCACAGAACCCCCAAAGCCACCAGCAGAATCTGGGGGAAAGGTATCACTATCTCCATCTTAAGTCCTTTGAATTCTGGAAGGAATTAAGGCACAGCACGACACAGAGGAAAGCCCAGCTCAGTCATGACAAAAGGTGCTTCTCTTTGCGCATGCGAGCTCCCCTGACGTGTCCAAATGCCACCAAGGAGAACTCGGATGCATTTGCCACGATGTTGGACACCTACCAAAGACCCTAAGTGGGCATGAAAGATTGAGTGCTTGTAAAACCTACTCTAAATCTGAAGCACAAAGCAACAAGACCCGCCTCACTCCCTCTCAGTGGCTGACACAAGGTGTGAAGTTGCATCTATCCATTATTTGGAAACGCAGGTCTCACCCGCAGGCAATGACAAGGGCTTCTGATATCCCTTCCCTTCTGCATTTAGAAAGCTTCTTACAACGTTATGTGCAATTTGCTGCAGTAGCCTGTCTGCTGCTAGACCTTTCCAAACAGACAAGAGTATGACTGACCACAGCAATATGTTCTCCTGGCAAGAAGAAAGAGAACATCTACAATACACCAAGTGCTTGGTTAAACACTGAGAGCAAAACTGAAGAGACAGAAAATAGACAGGAGTTTCTTAGAGAATGCCCCTAAGCTCCCAAGTCTCTCAGCAACAGAAGCACCAACAGAAGGGAGCTAAGCAGGTTTGTCTCCCAGGTTTGTCTCTGTGGCTGTGTAACAGGGGTGTTCAGCTTGTCCCACACCAGCTGAACCGAATACTGAATGCACAGAGCTGCTGGTTTGGCCTGGCATCCACAGAAAACCACTTATCTGCTGCCCTGCCAGAGATCAAGCACAAAGGCCTCCCAACACAGCTCTTCTGTGGCAGGGTCAGCAGCAGCAGAGCAGTGTTTCTGTGCCAAGGACATCTGCACTATGTTTGGACTGTGGTGTATGTAAAATTCCTGCATGCAGGAGAGCAGCAACAGGAGTCCCCACAATGCCACAGAACGGCAGGGGCTGGAAGGGACCTCTAGGGCTCACCGAGTCCTATCCCCTGCTGAAGCAGCTCCCTGCAGCACGCCACACAGGTGGGCATCCAGCGGGGTCCTGAGTATCTCCAAAGTATCTCCACCACGTCCCTGAGCGGGCTGCTCCAAGGCTCTGTCACCCCACAGCAAAGAAGTTCTTCCACATATTTTGAGGAACTTCCTCTGCTCCAGTTTTTGGTCGCTGCCCCTATCACTACACACCACTGAAGAGTCTGGCCTCATCCACGTGCCTCCCATGCTTTACACATTTATAAGCATTGACAAGATCCTCTCTCTGTCTTCTCTAGGCTAAACCAACCCAGGTGTGTCGGCCTTTCCTCACACAGGAGATGCTCCAGGCCTTCACCATCTCTGTGGCCCTCTACTGGATATACCACATTACCTGGGTGACTGTCCCAGCATCCTCCTGCTCAGCGCCGTGCCGCTCCACAGAACTGTTAGCAGCAGGTCTAACAGCCTCTGCACGCTGGAACACAAACATCACGGGTTTAACGCAGCCTGCGAAACAACCAAACCAAAGCAAGCCCTCTGAACTCTGCCCTCTGCAGCATCGTGCATTGTGCTCCATTCAGGAACAGATCTGCTGGCAGTGCACAGAAAGCACTGTGCTGAAAGAGAATTCTCTCTGCTTCCCTGCACGCAGGCTGAAACTGCACTCCAGATAACAGCACTATCCGATGTGCATGCAGCCAGAATTCAGGATCCTTATTAGCAGAACCACTGTCCCCAGACTGCTTTACTGAGATGTGCTATCACTAATTAAGAACAAGGCATGCTTTTGCCATCTACTTTCTTTGTGGAAAATTTTGCTAAATGGTATGATTCAATCATTTGTCAGCAGAGAAATGAACTGGAAATGTTCTAAAGCTTCTGCACACAAGCAACGGAGAAGAGCTGCTTTCACTGAACAAATATTTGTCTCCAGCTAGGACATTTTTAATACACATTTTTGATATGTGACTGAATATACTGCATTTACGGAGCTCCAGACAAAGGAAAAACTAACCCCAAGGTGTTTTTTCACAAGCATTTGGCACTCTGTCATGCATTTGAGACTGCACAGGAAAGCACTCGAGGCATCCTGCAGCCCAATCGCACCAGCAGGGACAGCCTACAGCCTACTGGTGACAGTCTTCAGCTTTCCCACATGAAGGAAGTGTCCTGCATTAAACACAGACAACGCTAAAGCACAGCTGAGAGCCATCCTAACACATCAAGGGGCCCTTCCAAGAGCTATGGCAAGGAACAGATGCCTATACCTCAACCATACACAACAGTGAGATGTTCAGATTAAGTCAGACATTGCAACATGAAGGTACAACTCACTGCCAGACAGCCAAAACTGGTCTGCATCTTCCAACTGCAACATCTTCAGGTAAAATCTGAAGAGTAACACTGCACTGAGCTAAGCTGGGTTCACCGTGCCCATACCTGATGCCAGCCACCCCTACAAGCTCAGTGCGTATGTAAGACAGACATCTTAGGTGCACAGCCTGATGACTTACCTGTGTGGGGAAAGGCACCTGGATGCGCCCTTCCAAGATGTTGTCGGTGGTTATCTCTACAGAACGGGTCAGCTGCAGGTCCTGCAGAACTACGTGGTAGGGAACCTGAGGGAACATCTCCTGAATCTGGTGGGCCTGGGGAAAGCAAGGTTTGCACGGGCAGTATTGGGATATGGAAAACTAGCTGGTAAGTGTCTGACTGGAAACAGGAAAGAAAAGGAACAGCTCCAAGTTTAGGTTATAATAACTCACGTGCAGGAAGAAAAAAAAATGAAGGGAACAAAAACCCATTCTGGCAGTGATTTACAGGGCAATACTTCGACTCCGCTGAAGCCAACAGCAAAACTACAACTGCTATGGAGGCACCACATGGTCCTGAAAATGTACATTCCTACTGCCAGAGGCACGTAGATAAAGGCTTCAGAAGATTCCCAACCCTTACTTTGTGACAGCACCTTTAATAAAGAGCTATATTCAGGCATGACTGAAAGTTAGCTGAACATTAAAAAAGCCACCTAAATAAAATTGTTTTTCTCTGTCCCACATGCATTCCAAGACGGTAAGGACACCTGGAAGAGGTTTTCATCACATACTCTCTCCTGCCACTCTGCTTACAGACCAGCTTTCATACAGTCTGAAAGCTCTAAAAGTTACAGGGGAAAAAAACTGAGCACAACAAATAAAACTGAGTACAAGGAGTTTGAAAAGCAAAGCAAAAAACTGCACCAGCTGACAGCGTGTTGAAACACAACCAACTGCAGCAAACTGCACTCTCTGCTGTACCTATCTGTGAGCAAAGCAACTGATGCAGCATTTCAGCCTCTGGTCTTGTGAAATACTTCCCTAGGGTTTTATTCAGTAACATGAAGAACTTTGCTTCATGTCTATTAAAAATGTGTAACACTTCAGTGGTTTGCTAACTTTGCCTTTCCATTAAAGCAGACATTTCAATATAAGTTGATACTCTGAATAATGCAGCATTAAATCATTACTCATCCTTAATAAAAGCCCATTTATGTCATTCTGTCCCGGAAAAAAACCTAAGCTGACTTTAGGTGCAGGGTCCCTGCATATTTCACTTAAGATCTGCCAACGCCTTCCCACCCCCTGACTCCAAGCCCCCCAAATAATTGTGTCCTTATCCTATCAAGGTTTGAACAATCATGAAGGCTTGGAGAGGTCTCGCACTGGGAAAGCTCTGTCACCCTCACATGATGCCTCACTGAGCACTTACTGACTTACAGCACACAACAGCCTGAACAACTCAAAGGAAATGCCACTTCTCAAACCAAAGAAATTCCATAATGTCACCTCCTTCCCTTCTTGTACTACAGTAGAGAGCTTATTCATGGTCAAACCTGGGGCTTCATCCTCAGCACCAATCACTGTCAGGAATCAGTAAGTCAGTTGTGCTACAGTGAGCCGCTGAACCAACCAACAACTGAATTTTCTGATGACTGCTACAAGCTGTGGGTGAAGCCGAGTACTAAAGGAAAGCTAAAGTCACATCACGCAGGCTAAGAAAAGGTCTACCCATCTACACCTACATCCCACAGAAAGTACATGCAACTTTTCTCCATCACTTGTTTACCCTTTGTGTTCGCACATCCCAAACAACCTACAGCCCTAGCTTCACTGAAATGAAGCTTCTCACTCAGAAGACAACCTCCATGTGGCACCCAAGCACTGCTCTGACTTCCTTCCCCTTCTGTTCTCTACCCACATGCACCCCCTTCCCCCCACAGCACAAACAGGAAGGCTGAGGTCCAAAGCAGCCAAGCAGCCTTACCATAGCGTTGAGCTGGGAGTTGCTGGCTTGTGTGATACCAAGGATATTGGTAGTATGCATCACTTCTACTGAAAAACTGGGCAGCCAGCTGGCAATTCGAGAGCCTAAGGATAAGAAATCACAAGGGAAGTCAGGCATGCGTGCAAGAGATTCTCAGCATACTTCCACATCATTCTCAGATACTTCTACGTGTATTTAATGTGTGTAACCATGTTTCCACAGGGTACAAACAGGGAGTTCTCACTGCAGCCCTCCCTAGGGATGGAGATGGCTGGAGCAAATCAGTGACTGCTCCTAGCAGATGCTGTCAGAGGCTTAACAAGCTGAGGGCTAGAGGAGGATCATGAAAACAAGACTCTCTTTTCCCATTAGATGGAAAATCAAAATAATCCAGAACCAGATTCAGTTCTAGAAAACAAATAACTCCAGAAGTTTACTAAAAACAGGGCTATTTCTAACCAAGCTGAAACTGGACCCAGAGTGGGTCGGGTCCAACTGGCCTGCACCACAGAAACAAAGAATGCTCTCCTGGAGGAGGCTGCTCCCTCTGCTTTTTTGGTCAGCAGCATCAGATGTCAGATCTGCTCAACTCACCATCAAAGTGGAAGAAGTGATTGTGCTGGTTCAAGCGCGGTCTGCCTTCTGCTACTGCCACGGGGACCAGGTTCTCATCCAGATTCTCCCTCTGGTGATCCTCCCTCACATGATGGCTGTCAGTGATATTAAGAGACATTCTGCACGTCGGGCAAGATGTGTCTTGTTCCAGCCAGGACCGCAGGCAAGAGCTAAAAGGAGCACAGCAACATTAAGGTGAGTTTGCAGCAATTTTCCAAGGCATCATTATCACAAGTACCTCAAGTAGCTGCAGCATATTCTGCTCAGAGCATTAACAAGTGCACACAGACTGCTCAGAGATCATTTGCAAGGTATGTCTGATGATGACTGGCTGTGTTCCTTTTCTTTCCAGCTGAAAATACTCAAGTGGTGCAGGTTTTATAAACAAGCTTGCAGATTTAGCCCAAACACAACCAGTGCAAGCATGATGCCTGTCTAGCTCAAAACAAGCAAGTTCAGCCTGGAAAGAGGGAACAAAGTGCCTTTTCTCTCACCGTCTCAAGCTGAAAAAGGGCAAATAGCAACTGGGCAAATATTTAAAAGACAAGGATAAACGTTCATAGCAGTTCTGCCAGAGTGATGTGGATAGGAACCTTCATAGTTCTGAAGTATTTCTGAAAAAAGTCACAAAAACCATCACACTGAGTACAACTCTGGAACTGTATAAATACATTAACACAAACCAGCATCTGTCACTGCAACGATCCCCTAATTCTGAACATTTGCTGTCTTGCAGAAAGAGAGAGGTGTTTGAAATGCAGGTTTGAGAGCTCAGAGCTGAGCTGTGGGTTAACCTATTTCTGACATACAAGCCGAAGTCATCCAGTACAATAACGTTCCCTCCCTAGGAGCACCAGTGAGGTAAAGGGAATCGAGCTTCAGAGAAAAAAATTATAAAAGGGTCATTTCAGATACAGAGAAGATAAATTTCTGATGAGGAGACCCTGCGCTTCTCAAGTGCTCAGGAGGAGATTAAATATTCATTGATTCATCAGCACTGGAAGAGGAGTTTTTGCTACTGTGGCAAATTATCTCATTAGAGTCTTCTTGGAACACAGATAAATATTTATGGCTAGGCTGTCACAAATGACAACAAATTAGCACACGGATTCTAACCTCTGCTCTGACAGTTACCAGAAAAGTAAAAAGCTGTTTGCAGAAAAGAACCTGCTCAGATGACAGCATGGGAGAATTCAAGAGCCCGTGCACATTAACCAAATGACACTTCAGAAATTCCCACCTTCAGCCCCATACCTCCTTTTATCTTAAAGAAAAAATGTACAGATGCAAAGAAAAAATCTACACAAGATCTAAGGAAAGGTGCATCTAAGGAGCACTCTACCTCCACGAGAACCTACTGTGACTCACTGCCAACTGAGTGCAAGAAACAGTGCAGAGAATGACCCTCTTGTGAAGAGCTTCCCAGCCCAACTAGCAGTGCCAGTGACCTCCCCAGCTGGTTGTTTAACCTCTTCCATGCACAGCCCTGAGGGACTCAGAGCCCAGCAAAACCATCTGATTGGACGAGACCTCCACAAATGTCCTGGAACATTCATCACCATGTAAAGATGTGCCATACAAAGAATATTGGCTATTTTTCTCCTTGAAGTTGGTATCTGAAGAGAACACAAGGGTCTAACTCCAATTTTTCTTCATTTCCCAAAAAACCAACATGTGCTCATGGAAGAAACAAAGACTGAGATGGAGGGGAAAAAAAGAAAGCCTGTTTTACCAAGTATTTCCACAGCAAGGCAGGGTACAGAGTCGCAGCTGAGATACCGTAACTCAGTACTACCTGCTCAGCAGCTGACAACACACATACTCTTAGTTCAGAGGAAAGAAGGCAGCAAATGAAGCAACTCCAACATGGAAGCAATGGAAGCGAACGCTACTTTTGCTCTGTAATTAGAAGCAGACCAAGAGGGCCCAGGCAGTAAGCAACCACAGCTCAGCTGACAGCTGGTTACTTGTTGCCCTAAGCGTCACACTTGCCCACATCACCCCCCTCCCCAGGCCCTGCAGCCCAACAAGGTACTTGTGGAAGAGGTGGCCGCACGGGAGCTTCCTCGCAGACTGCATGGAGTCCCAGCAGATGGCACAGTCGTCGTTATTGACTGCCAGCTCCTCAGGTGTCGCAACCGCAAACCTATGAAAGGAAGAGACAGAAGTAATGATTATCCCAACTCAGCACAGCCTTCTGCCTTGAGAATCCTGTGCTGAGGAAACCTTACCCTCCACATTCATTTTTCCCTGGGGGAGCCGTGCCGGGATGTTTGTTATCTTTTCCATAACTAGAACTCACACTGTAAAGGAAAACTCGTACACGTCCCTCCCATGCTTTCTTACAGAGTTTGTTTTGGCACATCTTGCATACACCCTAAGCTCAAATAGCTCTGACTTATTGTTCCAAGGAGTACGATCATTAGGTCGAGAACCTCAAGTTATAACCTGTACAGATTTGCCTTATGTCATTTTTCTAAATGAGCTTTAATAGCTGTACCCATTAAAACGTCTTCCTGGGATCCAAAGTACTTATGGTTTGACAAATTTTGCCCTCAGATTTCACCAACCTCCACTTGTCTTTGAATTATTATATATTTAAACTACAGTGCCATGCAAGTATCTACTGCACAGCACTCAAAGACAAACAGTACAGACAGTACAGAGATGAGTGGCACAACAACAGCTTGCAGTACTGCTACTGTGCAGCGAACCTGAAAACCAACTACACAAACACACGAAGCTAGCTTGTATGCTGGCAGATTCACCAAGAAGCCAGAACACAGTTTTTCCAAAACAATCAGGACGATGACAATGCATTAAGTCACTCAGACAAGATGCCCAAAATATCTGCAACTCAAAACGGCTTTGAGAGCAATGTAAGGGGTTCAGCAGCTGCATTACCAAAAAGAAATAACGCACTGTGGATGAACTTGGCTGTGCAGCTCTAAGCCTGCTATGACAGCACTACCTGACCTTTTGCAAAGAAAACACTGGGAATCTCCAGGGAAGACTGTTCTCTCTACCTAGAGCACAGCAGCAGGCATCAGAGCTGGTCAAATCCACTGGAGTCTAAAATGAAAATGGTACAGCAACGCACAGAAAAACTCCCCGTTGCTCTTCATTTGACTGAGGACACAGCTGAGCTATGACAACACTGGATCAGAGATGGAGCAGCACCTGGCACACTTAGTCTTTAGCAGGCCTCTCCACTTCTCTACATTGTCTTGGTACGGGGGGATGGCCTAAAGTAATCCTGAATGGCCCTCGGCTCTGCTCCAGGTACACAGCTGGCTTGAAGTTTAATGAACTGATTTTTTTTTAATTAATATTTTGATTAAATTTCAGGCAGTAACTGAATGACACGGCCTGAGGAAATTAGAAGCATTAATTTCCATCAGAACCAAAGCCAATACATGAAGCAGGCTGAGCTGAGCAGACCTTATGCCACCCCTACCGCCTAGGGCATCACATGAGGGCAAACAGAAGAAACTCTGGACTGGAGAGTTCACTTGTGACCAGCATTACTTGTACAAAAGCAGGATGTCTGGTAAAAGCCAGCCCTACGTATCTGTTAAACTGAGACACAGTCCCTCATCACAAATACAATGGAAGCAAAGCGTTTGCAAAAACACACCCTCCAGAGCAGGAAGATTTCAGAGCAGGATTTGGCAGACAGTATCTCTCCAGCACACAACATGCCGTCGTGCATCAAAGGAATGTAAGAGAACCCCCATTTCTTGTCTGGGCTCCTCTCCCCACGGCACAACGTGCACCCCAGAGCAAGCAGGCAGCTCACCGGGCCTCCATGTTTCCAACCACACGCAGGTAGTTCTTGTGCCGCCGAATCCTTCGCTGCACCTCATGGAACAGGTAGCGCAGCTGCATGAAGATCACCAGGCTTGCCATCGACAGCCAGATATTGCCAAACAGCTTTGGGGAAAGAAAACAGCAACGGGGATCAGAAGTGGGAAGCAGGAGGCAGCCACAAGCAGCTTCATCCATTCTTAAAAGAGCAAGAACCCAGGAAATCAGTTCTTCTGCTAAGAACACTCAAACTAACCATGCTTGTTCACAGGAACTGCTGCTCTTCACCCTCTCAAACACAACCTGAGCAGCACAGCATTCACAACCAGGAGAAATGGTGTTCGAGCCCTGTTTGTCTGAATGCCCCCTGCTGCCAGTAAAAATAATTCTGTCTGATTGCTCAATAATAAAGCCAATTAAACAGGTAATTACACAGTAGTTAATACTCCACAACGAAGTTATTTATGAAGACTGCAATTACACAGGAGGAAAGAATGCCAGAAGCCCCATGCTACACTTTTCTCTTCTTTTACTGAACTCCTCTACAACAGTTGGCGCATGAAATAAGCAAAACAAAAATACATATTTGAAATACCCAGCGCCCACTGCTTTAAGGCAAGGTACTCAGCATTATCTGCAGCACTCCATACCAGCATATGGATGTGATGCATCAAGTCCAGCGAAAGCAAGGTCAGCTCCATGACAAAATCCGTGTAGTACACATATGTGCCTTTACCTTCCCACGTCCCTTCATGGTTGAGATCCCAGAGATGAATTACATATCTGCAAGAGCACAGACACTAACGTTACCTGTTGCTTGTCATTAGCTAAAATCTCTAAGCTATTTATCTTCTGGATTTGGACTCTTTGCCCTTTCTAGGCCCAGCGCTCTCTTTGTTTTCTCTAATTTTACTGGTTTCAAACAGCAATATCTGACAAAGGCAAAAAGCAGCCAGTGCTCGGCCCACACTGGCACTACAGACCCCAGCAGAAGATACAATGGTGTTCACTAAACTGCGTGCCACTTTTGACATGATAGCACTGCATGCTGCAGACCCACATTGCTCAGCCTCTGAGGTGTGTCTCAGGGGAGGCATTACAACTTAATGACAGACACAGAATGCTGGCGGTGACGTGGACAAAGAGCTCCTGCTCTTTATGTCATACCCTCTATACGCCCCGCAGATGCATGAGCATGCTACTTCTTTAGAGCAAAAGTTAGAGAGATTAGGATCTTAAAAGAAACACCGCACAATGGTATCAAGGAGCATAAATCAATCCCAAAACAGCAGTGCCAATCCATTTTAATCCAGGTCTTAAGCACTGCTCTATTAGCAGCCTCTGAAGTGATCCATGCACTGCAGAACTTCTGTTTCCAAAGCAGGAGGGGCCCGTCTCCAAATACACCTTCGCAATGCAGCAAGGCAACTGCATACGGTTCTTACATCCACACCACGTGCACAAACTTCTTGAGCAACCACCACAGGAGTACTCACCGCAAAATCACATGAGCAGTTCTGACTGTCACCAGCAGAGACTGCAAAAGAGGAAACGATGTTAGCAGTGTTCCAGCCTGGTTAGCTGTACTGAGTGCTGAAGCACACGGTGCGTTCAGAGCAGCCTGAAGTCCTGTGAAACAGCTGTGTGCACAATATACCTGTGACAAGCTCTCTAGGTTAAGTACACAGAACATAAATGGGTACAGAAAATGCAGGAAAACAGCAGTCTGAAGACAAACCACCAGAAAGGTGTGTTTCTGGATGACCTAAGCACTTGGCCACGGAGGAACCATGCCCCATCACTCCATTCAGCTGTGGGGCCCTTTGTTGTGCCACGCCATGGGCACATGAAGGGACAGGATGAACCCCAGCCTGCCCATAGCCCCCCGCAGCTAGCAGATGCCACGAGATGCCACAGCACAGGGGATTCACAAGGAGTGACAACACACCATGCATGCAGAGCTGCCTGCTGGCATGCCTTCAGCGCAGGCACTCAACATGGCAATGGAATTAAAAACCTCACAAACACTAACATGCCACTGTAGCAATAAAAGTGGTTTTGAGTGTTTTTCCGTTTGTGAAAAGCATTCTGCCCAAAGAATAAGGCACACAAATGAAACAGCACAGAAACAGCTCCAAACGCAGCAGCAGCTGACCCTTCACTGTGTGCTGTACTCAGCACAGTCTCCAAACAGAACTCAGCACTCAGGCTGCTCTACGAGGCTGTCAGACCCCCCTGTGCCTTCCCCTGTGCCAAATGTGGGTAAAAGAGACTCCGCTCTGTTCTCAGGGTTTTGGCTACAGAGGAGCCTTGAGCAGGCCACAGAGGAAAAGTAAACACGTCCCACTGCTCACCACACAAGCAGTGAAACAGAACGACCGGCCGAGCTGTGGGTGGATGCAGCACGGAGCGCAGAGTGATGTCAGAACTAGAACACGTGGCAGGAAGTCTCCAGCAAGGAAGATGTTTGTCAGCAGCAAATGCGAAGATTTTTACAGCTTTGAAGAGGTTAAAACCTAAGTCAGCATCTGGAATCTGTCATTCCAATACTTTCCTCCAATCCACCATTCTGCTGCCAAGACATTTTGGTGCTGGCTAGCAAGGCAACAGCACAGAAAGCGCAGCGCTGCACCAGCAGAGACCCAGCCTGGAGGCCTGAGGAGCTGCCAGTGATTGGCACACAGAGGAAACTGCTCCACGCTGCACACTGCTCCCTGGAGGACGCAGCACAGGGAAGGCAACCGCCTGCTCTGCTCCCTCACGCTGACACGCACTGCTGTGAGGCACTGCACAGTGGGCGCTTGCAGTCAGGGGAGAGATGAATTGCTTAGTGCAGATTAATGTAATTAGATACACTCAAACAGAATACATTGGCAGGGTCCCTCCTGAAGCCAGAGAACACATTTCAGCCTTCAAGCTTTAATGCTCTTTTACTGAGAGCTCGGGGACCACGAGGTGTCACTGCCAGCACCTGGAAGAAACCTGAATGTTTTAATCCACTGCCACGAGTGTTGGGTATTGAAGCCAAAGGAACTCCTCAGTCATCCACACAGGGTGTACTGAAAAGGTGCAGGAAGGGACAGGGTTAGACTGTTCTGTGTGGAAAGGATTAAACAGATAAGAATTCTTTTCTTTGGAAGGAGTAGTAGAAGGGTCCATAAAATAAAGGTGATGTGAAGAAGAGTAAACAGGGAATGGTTCTTTGCTACTTTTCATCACCAATGTATCAGGCAATAGCAGTAGGGAATAGGGATGGCATCAGACAGATGAGTCCCAACAACTGGGACTGTACACAACAGAGAGTGAAACATGGAACTCATTGCACTTGGACGCTGCACAGGACAAAGTATAACTAAGGTCAATGAACAACCAAACAACCTCCCAGAGTCCACCCACAGCCACCAAACCCAGCCTGCTCCACAGCCCTCGGTGATCTGAGAAGCAGGAGAGGGCAGGAGACCCTTTCCTATACATCCTCCATAGCATGGAGGGCAGCATGGACCTGTGGCTCGGCTGAGGACCATGCACCTACACTTTCCTCTGTCAACAAGCAGAAGAACAGCTGGAGTGAACACATCAGCACCAAGCGCCACGCAGGCAGCTCTTGGAAACCAAAATTCTCCCTTGATAAAGCTCCCCCATGCTGGGATGGGGCAGATACACCATTGTGCTGAGCCAAGATAAGAGATGCAGTGTTAAAAGAGCCCCCTATTAGAGACAGCAGTAAATCTTCAAGAACTGCAAATCCAGCCCTGCAGCGTGGTCTCCTATTTAAGAGAAAACACACTGATGTGTTCAGTAACTGAGCACCATATCATCCCGCTATCAGCTGACTGTTTTTGCTAATTCCAAGTATGGATTCCAGGGAGTGGAGAAGAAAAACAGATCTTAGCTGTTATATGAACCAAGGATGCACCAGCATGACTTAGTTGCAGTAACACTGGTTACCACCCCTTCACTTGTCACTTCCTTAGGCAGAGTGCAATGACCATAACATCACAAGCACATTGATTTCACCCCACAAACACATGGACGTGTACTTCACAAACTGCCTGATGGTTACAGAGGTGCACAAACAAAAATCGCTCATCTCATCTGAGATGCAACTATTCAAACAAATCCCACGGGCATGCCTTAGGGAAAGGATGTTAGCTGTGATCCTTTTAGGGAAAAATGAAATAGAAAACAGCCTCAAGGGAAAGGGCTGCATGCACACTGTGTGTACATTTTGTCCCTCTCCCTAACTGCCACTTCAACTAAGCCCTCTTGCAATGCTCATGAAACACAACCATTATTTTTTCATGCACTGCATCTGATTTCAGCATCATCTCTCAGATTTATCTTATTTCCTTCTTCAGACAAAGAGTATTTGTGGGCTTAAACTTTGAACAGAGAAAGAATGCACTCCTGGCAACTGTCCTAATACTGGAGAGAGGCTCGTACAGAGCTGCTTCTTTGGGGAAATAAAAGGCAAATCCACCATGAGCCAAGAAATGTCACACAGCCCCAGCTGAGGATTGAAAAGCAGAGCAGAAACAACACCATATGAAAGCAGTCTCACCTCTGCTGCCATGAAAGCCAAGGTGTGCATCCCATGGGTGTAGCCAATAACACCACAGACGACTGCCAGCCCGCAGCAGGACAGCAGCATGGCCACAAGCAGGGTCAGCACTCTGACGTGGCTGCTCATGGGTGTTGTCGGAGAGAAGGACAGCTGCAGCACAAACACAAAAATACATAACAGGTTTGAATTAGCACTTCATCCTCCCTGCCATGTTCACTTCCCCAGACAATTTTTCCTTGCTTTGTTTTCCAAATCAGTTTTACGACCTCAACCAGGCAGCATAGCAATAAGCACTGTGGAATAAAGCTAAGGGGACATACCACCACAAGGCATCACTCATCTCCCTCTCATTTCCATTCACAGGGCTTTTTGAAGTCAGAAGGGATCATTTTGATTATTTGAGGTCACTTGTGTGATAAAACCAAGAGTGCTTTCCCACCCAATAGTTTCTGTATCAAATCCACAGCATCTGCTGAGGATGAACTCAACAACACTGGAAGAATGAGACACCACCCTCCAAAAACTCACCTGCAGCTAGAGACTGCTGGGCAGAGCCTACTGCAAATGGTCTCATTCGATATCATATATAACATATTCATCATCCAAGCTACCTTGACAGTAGGTTACATCTAGATCAAGTCAAAAGTTACTGAAGGGTGGTCCATGACCTTATTTTCAGGGCAGGAAGAACAGGATAAGGAAAAGAGCTGCCCAGAGCTTCACCCCACTCTGACTAAAGCTGACTCCCACGTTTTGTTCTAAAACCAATTCCTTCTCCCTTGTTTACATTCGGTTCAGCTTCTCATCCAGCTGAGCCTACAAGGCAGATCACACCAGTATCACTTGTCCAAACAAAGAACTATGATACATGCTTTGAAGGCAGAAGGGATATAAGAAGGATTTCTCCACACAAGCACTTTGCTCTCTTGCAGTCCACTGAACAAGCCCAGTACTACCCAATGTCTGCCTGCTTCATTCCTGTCTCAGTTTCCCTAGCCCCAGTCCATTTCGTTTCAAATGTGGTGCTTGGTTCCTTGTGAATTGACAGGCCTTACAGGATATCAATAACAAAATAAAGACACTACAAAACTACCAGGAGGAAATCTATGGATTTGGTTTAGCTCAAACACTTTTATTCCAGGACAGAGGAGCTGAGGAAAACACACATGCATTACAGGTGCTTGAAGAACAAGACTGACTGTTCAAATTCCTGTTCCATACTCCTTGCCTAGTTTTCAGTTTCTGGATCTCACAACCAAATTAATTGCTGGTATTAACAGAAATCACATGCAGTTTATGAAGAAAGTTGTGTTGCGTATCATAAAGGCTTTGGGACTCTGTGTAGATGTAAGAGAGCTTGAAACACGAGCACAGAATTGACACAAAGAGGTTTTACGGATCAGCCCCAAAGGGCACCTTTCCAAGGGGAGCTGTGCTCTCCAGATTTCTCCACTAAGAGCTATGAAGACAGGACAGAGAGTTAAGCAACAGTAATTACAGGGCATATGTAAGGAGCAATTCATTGCAGAAAATAAATATCTTCGGCTCTGTTTATCAGATGAGAAAACTGAAGGAGTAAGATTGACATGGCATTCCAAAGCAGTCATTTGAAGCTAATGGAAGGAAGGTGCATGCCTTCACACCTCAGGTGGGGAAAAGTCCTAAGTGTTTTGTTTGCAACCTATCCTAACTCAGTGTCTCTAAATTTGTAATCCCCAAAAGAGAGCCCTTAATCAAAACTTACGTATTCAAAGCGATCCTTGCAGAGCTGGACCATGAGATGAAGAAACACAAGCCCAGAGAACCAGAGGCACCACATGACCACTTCTTCCACTGTCTGAACATTGAGCACACCAAAAATGAAGATGAACTTGTAGAAGATGAAATTCCAGAACTTATCCTTGAGATGCTGAAAATAAAGACACTCGGTTACTGTGGAGAGAGCACTGACAATCCACACGTTTTGTTAAAGTACACAGTGAAACCACCAGAAGGAGAGTTAAGACATGCCCAGCATGCCTTCCCAGTGCTGACAGCTGACAGTGCTGACTTAGCCTTTCCCTAAGCATACTCCCACTATCCAAAAACGAATGAATCCAGTCACTGCCTTTCACTTCTGCTTTTAAGAGAGAAGAGAACCTGGGAATTATCACTGGTTAAAATTCCATACCCTCACTGTCAACATGTATGATCAAAAAAAAGCCTGAGCGAGTGGCCTGTTCGTTATATACTTCACTCAGAGGCTCTAAGGGAGTGAATCACAGATACAACAGGTTTTGAGGGACCTGTGGCTACTCACAAAGCCTCACGTGCCACAGCTCCGGGTGCCAGAAATGATCACAGTCTGACTTTTCCTAGAGAACTATGCTTACATGCTTATTTTTAAAACATCTACTTTCCAACCACTGCTGCTGCTTTTATCTTTTGCAGGATCCTGCTGTTACAAAGTCTGGGCTGTAATGGTCCTCCAGCTGCATTCTGACAAACTTTCTCCCCCAGGATAAGTGCAGTAATGAGCAGTGTGAGCCTTCAGACCTGGCCACATGCATGCCTGACCACTCTTAAGCCATCCCCTCCATGTCTGAGGCTGGAGAGCACCAGTACTTGTGCAGCAGTCAGGGCACAGAGCAAGGCATGAGAGTCAGCAGCAGCGGCACTTCCCTAACTGTGAAATGTAGTGGAGAAATGCTGCCACACACAAGCGGAACAGAGAAGAAACACAGATGTTACAAACACCCTGAACTGAGGCAGGCTTGTAAGCAATCTGGCAGCGTGAACGAAGGGTTTTCAAGTTGACCACGGGCTCATAAAATACCATTCAACAATGAAAAGTTCCCTCCAGAAACAAACTGGAAGCCAGTAACTGCAGATACAGCGGCTAAAGGTGAAGGGTTTCCCGGGGATTGTTTTCCACACGGTGCTACCAGACAGCTCAGCGCACGGAACGCAAAGAAGCAGGGCTGACATCTGCTTTAAAGCTGATTTACGCCGCGCGCTCGGCAGAGCACGGTGAGCCGCAGCGGGCCGCGCCGCCTTACCTGCCTCTCGCTGACGCGCAGCGGGCCGAACACCACGCGCTGGATCAGCTTCGCGACCAGCATCAGGACACAGCAGGCCGTGTTCACCAGCACCTGCACAGAAACCAAGCGGTCAGCCACGGATCTCCCGCCCCGCTCCGGGAGGGAGGGAAGGCAGCGATCCGGGCGGAGGTCCGGGCAGAGCCCGCCCTCGTGCGCCGCGCGGCTCCGCCGTAACGTCAGCCTGCCCTCGGGCCGACGGCTCGCCTCGCTTCTTTCTAGAAACCCGGCGCGGCGGAACGCCCGGCGAACGAAGCCGCCGGCCCGGAGCGGCGCGACGACAGCGGCCACAGCCCGCAGCGGGCCCTGCCCGCGGCCCGGCTCACCCAGACGCAGAGGCCGTCGGACAGCAGGTAGTAGGCGACGTCCAGGGCCCGCGGCCCGCCCGCACGCTGCTCGCCGGCCGCGACGAGGGCGCGCCGGGCGCCGAGGACGGCGGCCAGCAGGGCCAGGCCGCTGAGCGCCGCGTACGTGCGCAGGCTGGGCCAGGGGAAGCGCTCCAGGAACAGCAACGGCATCGCGGAGCCCCGCGGCCCCCGCCGCCTCTCGGCCCCGCTTCCTGCGGCCTCGCGTCCGCCCGCCGGCACCGCCCCGCCGCCCCGCCCCTCCGCACCGCCCCTCCGCACCGCCCCGCGTGGGGCCGGGCCGCGCTGAGTCACCGGGCGGGACTCCGGCAGCGCGGCACGAGGTGGCTCGGAACGGAGCGCGGCACTGCGGCACCGCGCGGGTTGTGCGGCTCCGCTCCCGGGCAACGGCGAGAGAACGGCGCGCTGCTCTCGGCGCCAGCCTGGCCGTCACGGACCGCGCCTCCTCCGAGAGCGAGCTGCCGGCACCCCCTGCCACATGCAGGGCCGTCAACCTCCACGTTTCATAGCAGCCCAGGCTGCCCGGGGCCCCATCCAACTGGCCTTGAACACCTCTAGGGATGGACGGGGCATCACAGCCTCTGGGCAGCTGTTCCAGCACCTCACCACTCTCGTAGTAAAGAACTTCCCCTGACATTCAACTTCAAACCATTTCCCCTTGTCCTGCAGTTATCAACCTTTCAAAGAGCTGATTCCCCTCCTGTCTGTAGGCTCCCTTTAGGTATTGGAAGGCTAGTACAGTCGTGAGGGTGGAAAAGAGCTCCGAGATCATCCAGCCCAAACATCCACCTGCCAACAGCACTGCCACGTCCCCCTGTGCCGCTGCTCTCCAGCGCCTCTAGGCACGCTGACCCTCCCCATGTACTCACATCCTCCTGTTTTCAGCATCTTTTATGAGTTTGTGAAGGAAAGGAGCAGTTTAAATCGTGTTCAAACTAGAAGGCAACTAAAGGAAAAACAAAATCCGCAAAAGACAACCGGTCGGTTCCATTTTGTTTAATGTTGTACAAAAAAAATTTGTGAGTATTACAATGAAAAGTGATTAAATCACTGATATCACACTGCCATCCCGCTACCTAAACAGCTGAGATTCACTTCTCTATTCATACAATAGAATCTTAGCGGCCTTCAGGAAAAGAACAAAAATGAAATCATCGAGTCACACGTTCTTTTTTCTACATCATAAAGCTGTGCTCACAGAGACGGCTTCTTCTATCAGACTCCTCATGTGTACAGGAACTCAGTTGTAAATAAAGTTGAACCTAAAATTAAAAGAGTTATACCAAGTGAGAGACTTCTATTCAGTTTGTTTAACTGACATTTTGGAACGTGAACAAGCAAACATTTTGGTTTTATTTCCGATAAGCCTCCACCTGACAGAGCAAGAGTGATTTATTCTTTTTCAAAAGACATATTTAGCATAACAAGCAGCAGGACTTTTAAACAGCTAACACTACACTAGCATTGCACATCAGTCTGTTGAGGCTGCAAAAGAAACAACAGCCAACACTTCACCTCATAAGAGACCTTCATCTGCTGAACCTAGCAGTGAGATTTACATAACCCACCAGCAACTCCTACAGCACTTCTGATAGCAGAGCCAACCTTTAGCACTCTAAGGGTAATAGATGGACACGTTTAACTGAAGTGCCAGTTCTTGTCATCTGCATTTCACTGCAAAGAGCACTGCACACGTATTCCCAGAAAAGTGAGCATCCATCTCACCTCCCTGATGTCCTTCCTTTGGATGCATCTGTTGCGGTGCCACCAAATTGCAATCTGGCTGCATAACAGCCAATGTTCTGCAGGTAGCCAGGAGAACTTACCTGCTGCCTGCAGGCAGAGCAGGGTGGAGGGAACTGTTCACACCATCTAAGCAGTCCTCGTGTCCCTCTGCACTGCTGACACCATGCATCCATCGCATCCAGTCTGAGGTGGACTGTAAGCTCTATGGGGCAGCTGCACGACTGTTGCAGCTTGTTTAAGCAGCACCTAGCCTTGCCTTAGTGCCCAGGCTCCCAGAACCACAAGCAAACACAACGTACCTGCTCAAAAGCTGAGGAAGGCTGGAAATAATGGGTCCGTATCCTGGTGCATTGTCATAGAGCTCAAACAACGGTGCAGCTACCAGCTTGTAATTTTTGGGGACTGCAAACAAAGCTATCAATAAATACAAGTTGGTTAGTATCAAATGACAAATATCACCAAGCATTCAGCCAAGGAACTCCCAACAGATCTCAAGCAAGATCACTACATGTAGCACTAAACTACCAAAGTAGGATTATTCCTTTTAAATTTAATTGCAGGGCTGTGCACGTGATGTAGGAGCAGGAATGGGAGTTTACCAGGAACCTGTGTTCCAACAACCATCCGGCTTCAAAACTGATATCAACATTTATTTTTTTAATGATTAACTGTAGGCAAATGAACCACAAGAACATGAAAACGAACTTGCAGCCACATTTCCTTGCATGAAAGACACACATTTGTAGTTTGATAAATAAAATCCTCTGTTGCAAACAAACACTTACCCTTTTCTTGAAGCTGGACTAAGAAAAGCTTCTTGTGCTCTTTTGGTTTAGTAATGTGAGCTGGGATATAGGGGTACTGGAAGAAAAAAAAATGCTTGAACAGAGCTTTGAAAATACTGTAGGTACGAGTGCCTATTATCAGCTAAATCAACCTGACAAGACAGAAATCCATCACAGCAAACTGAGCAAGTGTTCTCAGCATTTAGAAACAGAGAGGACTATTCACAGGACATGTGTCACTTATGCAGCAGTGCATAAGGCTGTGCACTGTGGCTAAAACAGGAACTTAAATGGAGTGCCAAGCTCAGCAAGGGGCAGGGAACTGTGACATCCAGGGGTTTCTCATCCATCAGGACAGGTGTAAGGAGGCAGAGTTTCCAAAAGACCAGCCACAGAAAGAACACTAAATAGGTTAGCAAAACCCTCCAAACACTAATGGCTCATGCAGCAGGCACTCCAAAAGCCCAAGTGGCTGTATTTAGGAAAACAAAAGCCAACGTAAGTACTCACCTGTGGAGGTTCAAAGTTTGGTCTCCACCAGTTACCAATGCAGTCATCGATCACCCAGTCCTGCTGGACGCCATCCTGACGGCCCAGGATCTATCAAATACAGCCACAGTCAAATCTCCAAATACTACAAGCAAAACTGTAAAAAATGCACTCTGGCAGCATGAAGACTTGTTGTAACAAGGCTGTGATGTAATTCAGAGCTATTCTGGAATAGTTTTTAATGTTTGGCTGGTTTTATAATGTGGCTTATTTTGTTTTCATAAAATCCTCACCTGACAGGACAAGGACACTTGAGAAAACATTTTGAATTCCACACTGCATTCAGCCAACTGAGTGCCATACGACTGATGGGAAGAACAGCAGTGGCACTGCCTGACAGCAATCGCTTTGGTAAGGTTATTATGTTGGGAAGACTGGCTAAAAAACAAGTCCTCATCCTCACGTTGTGCTCAGCAACACATCCTGCTGCACATCTGAAGCCAGCCCATGAAGTAAAGCTGCACATGAACACAGGACTTGGGGGGAAGTCAGACCTCTGGGTCACACTCTTACAAGGAGGATAAATGAGAGCTTACTGTTACACTTTGCTGTGAGCGACCTGAGAGCATTTTACACTCAAACACAAAAGCATCAAAATGACAAGTAACCAGGAGACTGCTGCAGTTCTTTGGCTATTCTACTGACTAACAGAATTCAACATTCCACAACATTCCAGTATTGCAACGTAACAAAAGAAAACAGACCTCTGTCATTAAGCGTTTGAGCCCTTCTACCTCATCTTCTCCTGGATTGAGTTCACCACCAGGTCTGTTAAAATAATCAATGATTAAAGCTAGAGTGATGGTTTACAGCATTCACAGACTTTCACAGGTTAGTTTGGACACGTTTCTACGCGTGGAGCTACAATTTCACTCAAGGCTCTTGCATCTGAGATTCCAAATCTAACCTTGCCAAATCTGAAGACAGTAGGGCAGCTTTCACCCAGACCATCTCAAATGGCTGCTGTGTGTCCCCCCAAAAAAAACAAAACAAAGCAAAACAGGCCGATTGTAATAAATAACTTCAGTAAGACAAAGTATAACAATACACATAACAATGACTGGGACACTTAAAAGGTAAAGTTTTAACAATAACGTAGAAGCACTGGAGTTGAAGAAGGGGCTGCAAGCACAGCTGTGCTTGTTCCAATCTCAAAAGCAGCACTTAGCGACGTGTACAGGAAGCATAAAGCTCAAGTGGGGAATCATCCTGCATTTAATACAAGGATAATGAGAAAACTGAAGATACATTTTTGCCACAGTTGTTAGCAAAGGCAAACAACTTGCCTGTTTACATACATGCCCCAAATCAGAAGGTCAAAAAAGAATCTGGATATAAAGATATTTTTCCCCCTCACCTGAGACCAAACACTGGAAATATGAAAAACATAAAACCAGGAATACAAGGAAAATCACCTGTCTCAAGTCTAAGCATTTTAAAATAAGAAAACAAGCATGGCCACCACTACAGTCATATGACCAAAACTTCCTTCCAGCTGTGGTCACAGCAGGCTAATTGAAGCACTTCCCTCACACATTCAGATGTCTGCCCTTCTTACTGTGCCCTGCTGGCAGTTTGTGAATTGATAACCATTCTGCATTTACCAGGGTGTATATAAGTGTAGCTGAGCATAAGCTTCCACAGTGTAAGACCAACAGCTGACTACCTGCAGGGCTTTCAACAGGAACCTAACCATGCAGTGCAACTAAGTTTCCCAGCGGCTTCAGAACCAAGGCAACTCTCCACTACCCGTGAGCAGAGTCAGATAAATACATTTTAGAGGAAAATGTCATCATTTTAGAAACAGTTCTCACAAACCACGCGCAGGGACCAAACGAATCTCCTTACAAATTAGCAGTCGGCCACATCTGACTTTGCGACACGCACACGTAGAGAGGTCTGTGATTGCCTGGTTGGACTAAGAAGGCGTTTGCAAGAAGAGACACTTACAGCTTGAAGAAAGTTGTCCCCAGCTGCAGTAACAACACGTGGGGCAGTCGGTGCTCGTGCACTATCAGAACCCCTTCCACCGTCCGCCTCATGCCGATTTTGTCAAACTCTTCTCTCATGCGC